AAGGCTGCATTCGTGCCTTCCTGCAGATGAAGGCCTTGCCCACAGGCGGCCTAGTAAATTACACATTGCAAACAGCGAAGGGTACATGTGTGGGAGAGCGAGCCTCCTCAGGTGTGTAATATAGCAGAGGTACATAACTGGACTCCCCGGGGCATTTGGACAGAACCATCCGGCAGACTTCGCCAGGTTAAATAGAATTAGCAACGAGATGCACTTTGAATACCAACTGCATCTCATCCCTCTACAGGCTAGAGAGCACACAGCATGCACGGAGAAGCCGGGTATTAACATCCATCTGAGCAGCTGATATAATAAGACGTGTAGCCATAAGGGTCTTCTTATAAAGAGGCTGCATGGTGACCCATCAGAGCAGCATAATGAGTGGGGCGCTGCATCTGCAAGGGTGCGCACACGCACTCAGAGCCGCGCTGCAGCTCTCCAACCCCATTAGCTCACCGTATCGTTTTATGGCTGTCTTGAAAGTGAGCCTCGGCCTGGAGGAAATGCTTCCTCGCACGCTCATCTGTCACTACATTGGGACAGCAGGGAGCCAGTCGAGCTGGAGCGGCTGGGCCGAACAACATGCAGTAGGTGTATGGCTGGTTAAACATAATCAAGCCCTATTCCTTTGTTTGATTATTACTGCTTAAACGTTAATGACAGCATTCCTTCGGGTAAAAGCTTACATTTTCTTGGACAGAATTGCAATTAAAGATATTTCAAAAACAATTCTACATAAAAAATTACATTTAAGTCTCCACAACTGAGGTGGTTATAGGAAAAACTGATACTTCCTTTGTTTTTAACCCAGGTTAGAGAAACATCCTCGTTACTGCAGACAAACCCCCAACATGTCAGTCCATTTCTCACGCCAACCTACTGCCACACAACAAATCAGAGATACATATGATAAACTCTTGCTAGCGGTAGACACTCATCCCTCAACTCAGAGGGAGCATTCCCCCTTTATCTGGTCGAGAACCACAGCCTCAGATTTAAAAGGAGCTAACTCCCATCTGAACCACTCCACTCTGACTCTAGTGACCAAACGTGCACTGAAGGTCGTGGCTTGAAGACCTCTGGCCTGCTCTGAATTTGAAATATGATAAAAAGTTCAAGAGAGCATTTTCTTATTTGATGACCGGGAACGCACTGTAAATATTCATAATTCAAATTCTCTTAGTGAAAAATAACATTTTAGATATCCTGGCTTTCATCCTATCCACAGTCAACACATTAAAAATCTCAGATATCATTTGTTGTGGGGAGAAATTACATTGAATTTCCTATTCATGTGTTTTTGAGCTGTAAGCTTCAGATATTCACAGGCACATTATTACAATCTACAACGAACATGAGAGAAAATTCTTAAAACTAGAAACTCACATATCAGGTTTCTACAGTGCTGCTAGTCATAGCTTTAATTTCACCTGTTTGATGTTAAAATGCCATCTCAACAAGTTGTAACAACTAGGGCTGGGCAACAAATCAATAATATATATAAACTCGTGATTAATAAACACAAAGAAAGTTAGAATGCTGATAATTTCACTGAACTCCTATCCACCGCACAGCATTCTGGGGGATATAGACAGAGAAAAGGCTTTAGCTGCTCGACCTCTCTTGGCATCAACTCATTCTTTGGTAAACTAGCAACAACCTGTTAAGTAACATGCGCAGCAACAGTTTCATGTTTCGCCACAGTGCCTCACAACTGCTTCAAAAAAAAAAGAATGTCAAGTTAAAGGAGAAAATGAGTGAATCAGCTCAAGAGGAAATTGAGGATAAAGGAAGAAAGATCACCAGTTTGGCAGGATTAATCAGCCTTTTTTCCTTATTTCTAATAGGTAAAACAAAACAAAAAACCTAATCAATAATTGTTAATATCGATGGATATGAAACGCTTAAATCGTGACACATTTTTCAGCCATATTACCCAGTCTTTGTAACAACTAAATCTAATTTATTTGCTAGCCTTTAAACTACTTGCTGATTAAACTGCTTTTTAACTAGCCATGTGTGGAGATCGACAGGTTTTTTAAGGCCGATGTTGATACAGATTATTTTGACTGTCGTCTCACCGATCCCCGATATGTGCAGCCGATTTTGTTGGAACGATTCTTGAAGCCGATATTGCTTTTTCTTCCTCCATTTACGTGATGAAAATGTATCAGTCGACCTCTAGTCATGAGTACTAGATATCCCTAGTGACATTTTTAGTAGTTGAAAAGTTGTTTTTTTAATACTTCAATATATGTTAGAAATACAGTACATGAAATGTCCTGATGCAACTCAGTAATCTAGGTAGAAAAAAATCAAACCCTTAACAATGGGCAATGGCCCTCTTTTGCATGTGACTAACCTGTTTGTCCACCATGTAGAGGCAGTGCTTATAAGGCTGAGTTCACCTGAAACTCATCAGACTGAAGAAGTGTCTTGGAGGAGAGACGAAATGTTTCACTAAAGAAGAACCCATTCAGAGGACCTACTTTATTTTTTCTTTTTGAGTATATAAAATGACTTCTTTTTCAGATATTCACATTCTTCTCTCTAGACAAAAAGAATGTACTTGTAGACACCTGAAGCTAAAAGCGTGAATAGAAAAAGTCGTTTATTTTAGTAAGAATGACATTTGCAACATTGAGAAAAGTAGATTGTTGAAAGAAACAAAACGCTTTTGAAGATCTAAAGTTGTTTGTGACGAGGAGGAATCAAATGTTTATCTGCTTTGAGCATCATGTCTAACTATTGTTTGTTAAACTGGATTGAAGGAGGCAATGTGAGTGACAGGATAAACGTGTTTAAGTGTGTAGGTGGAGAGCTGGATGTCTGATCACGTGGGGTGGGGGGTAATTGTGCTGTTCTGTGCCTGTGTGTGAGGAGCAGAGCAAACACAGCAGGGACGGCCGCGGCTGTTCGGATCAGCGTCCCGCGACCGGCCGTCACACGGCACAAAAACCAGCCAGGTAGCAGATCTGACATTTTCCTCTGTCAGGCTCCCCTCCACTCCCTGATCTAAGCAGAAAGCAACCAAAACACTGGTACAACCAACACAAACACAGATGTGTTTCAAGGCTTTGACATTTTCAGTGCTCACACTGGACTTTGAGGCTTTGTAGAGGGGGTGGGTGTGGGGAGCTGAGTATTTTTTTTTTTAATGAAAGCCGTATGAGGGCACAGTTTAGATTTGTCCTGCAGCAGGGAAGCATTTTTTTTACTTTAGTCTGCTGACACAAAGAAATTCTGTCAATCTAAGCCTCTCTATTAAACAGGGGAAAAACCCTCATCAAAGTGCCAGTCTCTGTCCTGTGCTTACATTCAAGAGATCCAGCAAAATGCCAAACACATGTGCTCGGGCTCCGTGTTTAGGCTAAAATGGCCAAAACGCGAGGCAGCAGCATTTGATTTAATCTCCCCTCAGTGAAACCGCATGGTGTTGTTTACACTGACGATGACTGTGTGTATACGTATATGCCTTGTGAGTGTGTGCGGAGAGCACTTGGAGCTGCAGGACTCGCTGTTCCCTCGTTGCAGAGCCAGGAGCAGCCACAGTGTGTATGTGTTTGTGTCAGCATGATGGAGGAGAAGGGAGTTACTCAGACCTAATGAATCCATCTGCATTCAGGGGACACTCTTCCTCTCGTATGCAGACGGGAGCAAACAAGCAGCGACCTGGGAGCCCGTCCGGCGGTTTTGGGGAGGTGGCTTAGACTTAATATTTCCAGAGCAGGACTGGCAAGGACACAGGCAAAAATAAAGTACCAGATTCACCCGATTTATATTTCCCTCTTGAAATCCAGACCACTGTCAGAGAGAGGGGGTCCGGGTTGTGAGCTGTACAGAGTCGAACCTCTCGTCTGTTCTGTACAGTACTGTTCCTTCCTGTTTTTTTTTTTTTACAGTGAGGATAGAGTGTAGCTGAGGAGGAGGGGTTGGGACTACAGTACGGCATGTGCTCCAGGAGACTGGCAGCTGCTGATGTCCTCACCCTTGTGTGACCTGGCACCCTGCGCAACCTCCATGAAGAATGAATGGAGGGCAGGAGGCGGGGGCGTCGAGAAGGGGGAGGGGCCGCCGGCGTGGCGAGGCGCATCATTAGGGTAATGAAGCCGAAGCAGAGCGGTGTTTGGGAGACCTCTAGTGGTCCTCGGCGCCGTCAACAAAACGTCCACAGCAGTGGCTAAAATGAAACCCATTCGTCACGCAGCGAGCACAGGTGTGCGATTAAGTCAACATCGACTTTTTAATATCAACGTGCAAACCAACAATCCTGTTTTTATTGCCGTTTTTTCCCCATCCTCCCAACAAAAGTGATTTTTGGCATGTTGTCGTTGCACGTTTAATTAAACTTGAAATAAATATTTGTGAGAAACCCCATTTTTACTTTACTGTGTATTTTTTTGATTTTACTGACCAAATCAATCAAAGCTGAATGTTTGTTTTAAAATTCCAGCAGCTTCAGCAGAGTTATGAGTTATGGAGTGGATTACGAAGTTATTTTTGTACCTGAATTACAAGCAACTAGGCAGCTGACTCGTTCGGAGGAAACTGAACACTGACACTTCTGGTTCGAGAGAGGAAAAAATAAATTTCATTACCTCTTTGGCAAAATCTCAGAGCTTATATTCGTAGAGGAAATATTAATCACTCATTTTGTTAAATATCAGAGCAAAAACAAGACAAACCTTTAAACAAGTTCTTTTTTATATTTCTTTTTGCTTCTGTATCATTTTGACCCAGTTTCCTTTTACCAACCAATAATGCTTCCATTTTTTGTAAACTCTTCTCTTTATGCGTTTGAAAAACGTCATTTAAAAACTCAAGTTTCTGCAGATCAGTGACATATTGTGGGTATTTAAAAAAAAAAACAGTACAAATGTTTTTTTTTGTGCAAACCACAAAATCAGAACCTCTGCCTTGCTGTCCTCGCCTCTGACTCGCACCGATCAGCCACGAGGGATCAATCCTTGTCAAAAAGTGACGTTCTAGTCCTCTAAGACGTCGAAGACTCTGAGAAAGCTTTGAGCAGCAGGTCAGCAGCCAGTCCCGGAGAGAGAACTCCTCTGGTGACCCGCTCCTCTAGGCGGGGCAGAGCCTCCCTGACGCCTGGGTGATTTTGGAAATGACGGAGAACGTTCTCCTGGATCAAACTCCACATCCAAACCCTGTGCTGGGCCCTCCGACGGCCCTGCAGCTCCCCGCTGGTCAACATGGCGTCTCTGAACGACTCCATCTTGGCCCAGGCCTCTGTGATGCCCTCTGAGGTGTGTGAGGAGGCTCGCACCACCTGAGGATATAGTGTGGAAGGATTGATTGTGTGACTTTTACTTTTTCATAAATCAGTGGATGCACATCTACAACTGAACGGCTTCTTCAAGTCAACACTTTGTTTATTTTAGTTTGCTGTTTTTTTTTTAGTTAAATAAATTTAAGACCAAACTTTGCTTTTCTTTCAGCTTACCTGATCCCTGATGAAGCTTTTAAAGCTGTAACTTTACAACACAATTAAACTAAGAAACACAGAGAGGTTTCTTTCTTTACTTTTTATATTTATGATTTTGCTCCTAGATTTTTCTCTTGGGTCTTTAAAAGTTGTATTACAATCCCTGTATTTTTATTTGTATTCAACATTATTTTATGGCTTTTAAACATGCATTTATTTCTCAATGTTATAAATAGAAAAAAACAGTAAAGAAATAAAAATTAAATTAAATTAAAAAATACAAATAACACACTGAACAGTAAAAAAAAAAGCCTGTCTTTTTTTTCTTGAATGTGAGACCCTTAATGACAAAAAGCATATTGCTGGATTTAAGTCTTAAGTACGGTGGGAGTACCCTTTTGGGGGGAGTTTCCTGGCAGCTTGGCCGGCAGACAGATTCTGTTCTGGGTTGAGAAATCAAAAGGACAAGGCCAGGACATAGAGGTGGAACAAGAAGGGTGCGCGGGGGGCTTATGTCAGAGAAATCACAATACTATGATAGCTTCATCATCAGCCCCTCTCCTTATGTTTAACATGAATTATCTATTAGAGATTACACACCTGGAGCTGTTTTTGAATCCAGTAAATGCCTGCTTATTAACAAGTCTCTGACACACACACACACACACACACACACACACACACACACACACACACACACACACACACACACACACACACACACACACACACACACACCTTAGTATTCCAGGACTTGGAGTTCCTCCTGAGCAGCTTGAGTGCGCTGGTGTACTCAGTCTGGATCCTCCTGGCTGGCACCACCAAGTCACCATCTGACTTTGTCACCACAACCAAGTCGGCCCGCTCGATGATGCCCCTCTTGATACCCTGAGGAGATATTCTGGCATTAGAAAACTGCGAAAAAAACCCTTTAAATAAATCTGATGTCTGCGTGCCTAATCTCCTGAGGGATCAGTGCACAGAGAGATCCAAGTGTGGGTTTTATTTACTTGTACCACACAATCTTTTTATCATTACAGGTGTCTCCTTTTGTGTGATTTCAAAAGGATGAACATTTTTTACAGTTATAATTTGAACAGTTATTGCACTTTGAAAAAAAAAATACTTTCACTTAATGACATTTCATTGAACTTCTGGTGACTTGTGATTAAATAAAAGTTTGACAACATGAAATAAAGCCATTGTGTTAAAACCATTGCTGACTGTGGAAACCGGCTCTGGTAACGACTCCTGAGTGAAAATCAAAGTTTCAGTGACAGCTCAGATGATGCAAAGGACATATGACGTTAGAACCATCGATGGCTAACATCCAAGAAAAGAAAAGAGGAAAAAATAGAGGAAAAGACCACTTTATAATAGAACATGATGAAAAGCTTGATAACTTTTAGAAACACATTTTATGTCTGATGAGGACAAGTATAAAATTTTGTTGGCAAGTAAGTATGACAATCATTTGGACATAACCACCACAATATATGTATTCTCAAGGCTGAAGGGTGAAGGATGATGATTACTGAGCTCAGTCTGGTTGGTGTGAACATTAGCTTTGTAGATGAAACCTTAAATGTCTGTCTACAAGGGTTGGGCATAATCGTATTGTGTACAATTAATCATCAGAAAAACACTTATCAATTATTTTTTGGCTCTTGACGATTAATACTATTAATGGCACCAGCCAGTCCGCTCGGTGCTCCTCTCCACTTAAAATATGACGAACATTTAAAAAAGTTCTGTAATTTATTTATCTATCAACACAATTTAGAACAGATTTTTATGAAGAGGAAATCTTTCCCTCTAAATTGGTCATGTGACTAGGACATAACCTCCAGGTGATTAATTGTTCAAGAGTAACTTATCCCAAAATTAACCTTTTTTTAGCTGATAAACTGTCTAGAATGTGTCTAAAATGTTATATAGTACTGTTTC